ATTGATAGACGCTTGAAGTTACCGGAGGTGCGAGACTAAAACGTATATATTAGTTGATAAAATGATTACTTAATAACAAATATTATGTTCCTGATATTTTTTCCTTATAGCAACTATCAGAATGGTGGGAGAATTTTCCGAGCCAAAGAATACCTCGGTTAAGCAATATAGCATTATATTTAAAGCTACATGAAAAGACGCGCATATAATTGATATGATTCCAAATCATAAATCAGCAAAGAGTATATATAGATATTATCTGTAGATATATATAATTAATTGTACCTGTAAAATAGAAATACGAAATATACATAGATGCATACTCACATACAACACATACATATCTATATTACAAATGTTTTAATAAAATAACTTAGAATGAAATATTTTTTAATAAGTATTTTTCCTAAGATATATTTAATTAATAATTGATATTGTTAATTTTGCATTTTATGCGATATTTTAACTTTTATATTGTTTAATAATTTATTTTCTATTTTTTGGAGATATAAATACAAACAGAAAAGAATTTAATCATACTATTTGAGAAACGTAAGAAAATTAAAATTAATTATAAATAATAAATATAATTGTGTATTTTATAATTATGTAACTATATAATATTTAATATTATATAAATAATATAATATTCAATACTATAATATTCATATTAATATATTATTAATATAATATTTAATATATAATATTGAACTATATAAATATATAATATTTAATTTTATTAATATTTTTTATATCAAGAGATGTTAACAAGACTTATTTTAGAGATCCGTATTTTTTTATGATGAACTTTGTCGTTTTTCGCGCAGAAATAATGTCGCAACTCGGCAATGATATCGTCGGCGATTTTATGGGGATTATTTTTGATACTTCCTGTCTATAATTGGCTTCACGTCAAATCAAAACGCAGAGTCAATTTGCGATTTCGGCGGACACGTGCTCGCCTCTCGTGTCTTTTCGAGGGATAGCTAGCATATTGTTCGCGAATGGGAGAGCGATCGGTCCGGTCTCTCGGAGCAAATTCTAGGGGTGTGTTTCACCCCTGAATCAATTAAATAGATATTAGTCGTGTCACTTGACGCGGTAAGTGAGAGAGAGACAGATAGAGATCGTCGCTTACAACGAGTGCGTATAAACATCGCGCGTCAAATCGGATCCTGTGTTTACCCCTGAAGAAATTTCAACGAGGGGGGTGCATAAAATTATTAGTTATACCCGGCACATCCCCCTTTCGTCTAGCGATATTTCCGTTCCCTTAGAACGCTCTAATTACGTCGCGTACAGCTTCTTTCCATTCTTTTTTTCTCCAAAATCCCTCTGTATTTTCGCTGACGAATAGCTTTGTGATTAATCAGTTTCAATTCTTACTTGAATTACAAATCGCTTATATATCTATATGTCTTGCAATGAATTTTTTTTGTAATTCTAATAGATAGACGTTTCGTTAAATAACTTTTACGTAATAACTTTTGTAATAACTTTTTTATATAAAACCTTTCGTACAATAAGAATTCGAAGCGCGAAAAAATTGCATAATATCGCTTGAAATATTTGACAAACGGGATATCTAAATCTATATAGGATTGTAAGCTCGCATGGAGAGCGACGGATGTTTAATACAGCCCCGCTGTAATATGCTATATACATAACTGCAAGCTGACGCTTCGGATCGATGTTCCAGGCGTCGGCGCCGGTAAGCTTCAGGGCTTTTCGCCATCATTTTCTGGAGCTACCAATTCAATATCTATAAAATCACACGCAAAAATAATGTATTTTATTTCTATAGCTTGCAAAGTAAATTGGAAAAAAATGATAGGCAATGAAATCTCTTGGAGAAGAAATTTATTTTTGAAATTTTTGATCTATTTGTGTGAGATCTATTTGAGATAAGGATTTTGCCTTTAAAGAAAAACTAGGAGATATATTAAAATAATGATTTGATGATAGGTCATTGTTTTTATCAACGCTTTTCAATATTCAATATTATTTATCATATACATATATTATTGATATATTATTTTTATTATTACAATTTTATTAGATGTATTACATACTGTTAATCATTTATATATTATGTATTGATCTTCGAAGTTTATTTCACGAAAAAAGTAAATTATTTATTTTCAGATATTCAAAGCTTTTTAGATATTCAAAAACTATCTCAAATACTTGTTTTAAAAATTCTAGAGTAAAATCTATTTCTCGTACGAAAATTCTACAAAGGTTCGTGTCATTTTATGTTATACTGTATATTACGAGAAAATAGCGCGATTACCGAATTTGCGAAAATATAAATGGAACAATATAGAGCGAGCTACGTAAACGCAGCCTCCTCCAATTTTCGCACGTGTTCGTCCGATCCGATTTTGATGCGTCGCTAACAATGCACCGACCCCGTTGCATCGTCGCCCGCAACGGGGTCACGCCTTTGAGCGAAATTATGGGATTTCGTCACGGATCTTTCCAGACTTTGCCGATGCTTATTACACGGATTCGACGTAGATATCCCTCGAACAGTTGCGGCGAGAGGGTGATCGAACGCGAAGAATCGACATTAGACATTAGAGATATTAGGGCATATATATTTAGTATTAAAAGTGCAGTGTTAAAAAAAATTAATAATAATTGAACTGATCACGATGTGTAAGTTGTAAATTTATTGTAAGTATGAGAGAGAAGTCACATATAGTCGATAATAAATTTTACAAATTATAAATTTGAATCATTTAAATTCTCGATGTATCAATTTGGATTCAATTCTGTTAAAATAAAGAACGAGCTTTCTTCTTCTATTTTTTTTACTTACGGATTTTTTTAAATATGAATTCGCGATTCGCGAAATAAAAGATTTTATATTAAAAGCTAGAAATTCAGATTTTCCAGAATATCTATTAGATTACAAGATATCTGATGATTTTTTTATATTAGAGTTTTGAGGATGAGGATTGCGACTTAATATTTTTGCTTCAAAAATATACATCAATGTACGATCAATATAAAATTAATCAAAATATTAAAATTAATAAATTAAAATTCTATCAAAATAAAACATTGTAGTTTTCCAAGTTTTTACAGTTTCTTTCGATACTTTTGAATATCAGTTTTTCTTAATAAAATAAGAAATGGAAAATATACAAAACTTACATATACAATTATTATATTTAAATATTTGTATCTTTATAATTCGTATTAGCAACAATAATGTTAAATCGGTAATCATCTAAATAACAATGTTAATTAAGAATTTATAGTATAAAGTACATTGAATTTAATTGTTTTTTAATAACAAAATTAGTTTGTTTTTTACTTAAATCTTCCACAATCAATAATTGCTATTTAATTGAATAAAACTCCTAGTTCTTGTAGTCAACGCAATTAGTAATCTTGAATCAATCCTGAAATAAATGCTGTTTGTTTCATTTATAAACTTATATTTTGTTGCGATGAAAAATAAATTATTCTTCGTTAAAACAGTTTGATAATTGTATTTTTTTGTTATTTTACGTGAAACGATTCTGAAACAAAACGCTCACAGTATGTTTGTTCGTAGTCTAAAATCATTGATATCTTAATATATATAAAAAATACAAAAGAATTTTAAATATTGACATCAATATATTCAGATGTTATTCTTTTTCAATTATCAAGAAATCAAATATAAAGAGAGACTCTTAAATATAATATTATATATCATAACAAGATCAAATCATGATAAAAACATAAACATTATTTGTTTTTATGAGGGATTGACTCAAAGTCGGTCGCTAGAATGGGGATTGATTGTTAGCATGTAACGGGATTCGTAATATTATTTAGTTAGTCGCTAATCCTTGGCCGAAAAGGATCAACATACAACAATGTGAATACTACGATAAATGTACTTTGATTTTAAAACGCGTAGATCGATATTTAATGAGCTCGTATTAATTCTGATACAGATTCGTATTATTTCTGATTATGAAATTTTTGTTGACAAAACAACTCTTTAATATATGCAATTAAATTGCTTTTACAATAAAGAGAATAAAATTATTGGGTTTTATTAAACAATTAAAATAAGCAAACCGGATAAATAAAAGTACCACGCGTGGTACAGCTAGTAACATAATATTACTATTAAAATTATAATACTGTTAATAAAATTCTATTAAATTTAATATCACAATTTAATTAAATTTAATATGTAATATTTACATTATAAACGTTTTGGTCCTCATCTTTTTTAATAGGTTCAACAATCTGAATGAAGAATTGATATTAAACATGAATATTATAAAAACTTGACCGAAACGCAATCATCATAGTACTTCGAGTAAGAATGTCAGTTATTATCGACTTTTTAAGTTTTAAAAATTCAAAATCACAAAAATAATGTCTACAAATCAATGTCAAATAGTAGTCAGATTTTTTATAATCGATAAATATTATATCAATCAATATCACTGCAAGTTTAAACTGTTTTTACATTTTAATATGAATTTTTGAAAGCAATCTTTTTTTAAATTGTAAATTAAATTAGTTAAACAATAAATAATAATTCAGATCTCCTAATAATATTGCACGAAGGATTTTCAATTATATTAGATATTGTTATGTACTGTGTTTATATCATAACAAATTATCTAATCTTTCAATTTTCTTGCCGCATGTATCACAAATATATTTCCAATGCAAAAAGAAACAAGAGAAAAAGAGGCTCTTTTGACAAGAGAGATTTTTAGAAGTCCAAACATGTTTTTATACATTTTGCCAAACTGAGCTTTGACTTTTGCATTCTGTTCGTATCCATCTTTCATCTTTCGGTCGATATCTAGCGAGATCAGCTCTCGCGGCATCGGTGGGTCGTGTCGAGGCAAGCACCGCCCAACAAGGGTGAAAAGGGATGAAGAGGGTCCAATGTCACGATGGCATCGCGGCGCACGCGTTTCGCGACGAGCGATTTCCGTGTATTCGCGAATCCCGGGGGCGGTTACCTGCGGGGGTGTCTGCGAAATTTCCGAAAACGCACCCTCTCATGCTCTCAGAAGAACGTGACGCTTGGGCCCCGAAAGTCGCAGGACGTTGTCCGGGTGTGTGTGTGTGCGCGCGCGGACACTTACTTTTTTTTAATTTTTTTCCATCCTCGACGAGTGAGCGAACCTGCTGGTGCATCTGCTTGTCGGTGGACAGAAAGCGGGATATGAGCTACACCGAACCGCTGTGGGAGATCAATGGAAATCAAGCACCAGTGAGTCCGCGGCGAGTCCTGGTATCGCGCGCGATGTTTCCGATTTATTTGTAACAATAATAATAAACGGAATCACATTCACATACAATTGAATAGAAATGTATTTTACAGCGCGATATTTTTGTGTTTCTTAAATTATTAAAAAATCGCCCGCGATAAATAAGATTGATGTGATTATAAATATTGCCATTGCATATTTCATCATAATCCACGTGATATTTTATTCATGTGTCTGATATTATAATAACTAACAATAACATCAAGATTAAGATCATCGCATTTATATCAACAGGCAGTATGTTGTGAGAATATTCTTGTTTAAAAATAAAATTTCAAGAAATGCTTATTTCTCAAGAATAGATTCTGAAGAGCCGGATCAACATTAATTAATTGTAATATAAAAATAACGACTGTATAAGTTTTATATGTATTTTTGATAAAAAATATTTAACTATAAAACTGAGGACTCTTAGATATTCGGTTACAACGCACAAACGCGTCAAAAGACGTCAAAATGTCTTTAAAAAAATATCCTAATGTATTAGACGCGCTATAGATATCTTTCAGATACCGGCTTTTGGATTTTTGCGTGCTTCGTGTTGCCTGGACCAACCGATTCTCTCAGATGAAATCTATTCGCGACAGGTAATCGCGGCGGAAATGTCGCAGTACGTCGGTGGTGATATCTCCAGCTACCCGATGTGGGATAGTTCCGTATTGTATCAAGCACAGCCGCCTACCCATCCGCACGTGAACGAGCACGGATTGTACAGGCAACCCTGTGCCCTGTTGCATCAGAGGTAATCTTTTTTTACACAAAATTAAATAAGAAAGTTCTTTATTTTTCATCAGAATAATACCGTTCTTCATCTATTTATCGTATTTGAATAATATTCAAAAAGATCGAGAAATTATGGAGATGCATATAACATGTTCGTTAATAATTATATATTTCATCGTATCGCGATGTCAAAAAGCTGATTGTGAAAGTTGAAAAGTTATGAGAATTGAAAGATATATGAAATATATTCCAGCGTGTCTATTTTCTGGACATCTCAGATTTTTTTCCTACTTGGAAAACATTAAAGAATTCTCATGAAATTTTATTGGAACTCATTGTCAAGGAGTTTTTTAACAAATTCTTTCTTTGATCATTTTATTTTTACATTATAGACAGTCGGCAATCTATCGATAAACAAAGTTGTGAATTATGTGTTTAAGTATATTATAAATCTATTTCTATTATACATCTATTTCTATTTATACATTCAATGCCCTAACAAAATATTAAAAATGTAATACATATTCTTTATTGTAATTTTTATCATAAAAAAATGAAAATGTTTATCCTACGAAAGTTATTTAATATTTTTCAGTACATTTGCAAATCTAACATTGGAAACTTAACTCTGCATTTTTCCTTTATATGAGTGAAAAATACGAGAAAACGCAAACAAAAAAAACTTATTTTAGAAAACTGTTCAAAAAATCTTGAAAATATTCTCTTTTGGATCTAGAATTCACCTAGAATTTTTACCAAAAATATCTAAAAGATCAGGAAATTTTCACTTTTTACAAGATTCGAGTACACAATCTGTACATGACAAACTTGTTTCCAATCGGAATCGCAAGATACGTAATAGATTCTTAATACTGATTATTTTGCCGATGTTTATTTAATCGAGAATTTGGAATTTTCAGTCGTTATACGTCAAACGGCCGTTCGCCGAATCTGCCGTCGTCAACGACGAAGAAACCGAGGCGTCGAGTGGCGACGGTCTCCCAGAGGAGAGCCGCGAATATCCGGGAGAGGCGCAGAATGTTCAATCTGAACGAGGCCTTCGATAAGCTTCGCAGGAAAGTATGAAAAATACTTTTTTTCGGAATAGAGAAGAGACATTTCGCGACATTCGCGCGATTCACGTCTCCCGTGCGATGATTTTAGGTACCGACGTTCGCTTACGAGAAACGGCTCTCGAGAATCGAAACGCTGCGCTTGGCCATCACGTACATCGCTTTCATGGGCGAGCTATTAGGTATCGAGCCAAGTAGTCCGAAACCAGAATATATACCACGAGAATATTACTTGCCGAACTGAATGTCTTCCTTTTGCCTGCCAAAGAGGTGCTGATGCGGATTGATGCGAGATTCATAAATGTTCGAACTACTAATCGGCGAAACATGGTCTTCCATTATTGATTAGTATTATAGTGTTAAATCAAGAGATGCACAAAATTTAACATATGTCCGTATATATATATATATATATATATATATATATATATATATATATATATGTGATACTTCTCTCGTAATATTATACTTGATCCTTTTATCTTCCACTTCTATTAATCTTTTATACTTGATCCTTTTATCCTCCACTTCTATTAATCTTTTCGATACTATATTTCACTATTATTATTAAAACATGATTGCAAAGAAAAAAGAAATGTAAAAAATATAATTTTTAAATCTAATGGAATCTTTTAATGGTGACAAAACATTTTATCTTAATATAGTGTATCGGAAGGATAAAAATCTCACAATCAGTCAATCAAATCTTTCCTTATACTGTGCAGACAATAATTTTATCTCGATTATCGCGTAAATAGAGAAATTTATTGCGAGATATGAAGCGATAATATAAATTAAATTTCTCTAATGTTCTTTTATTATTTGTAATACAGAAATTGTACATTGTAAGATGGCGTTACAACAAAATAAAGAAAGTGTTGCACGCAATTTCTTATATGAAGAAAATTAATTAGTACGAGCGCAACAAGATTCTCTATATATTATAAATTATTTTTATCGATATTAATCGATATTTATTTATCGCGATTCGAAATTGCTCTTGTTGAAACAATGTATATGTATATGTAACTCCATCTTACATCTTGCTGTAATTTCTAATTTGAATAAAATGATTGTATGTTGCTGATTACTGTGTGAAAATAAATGGGTGTAGTATAAAAATAAGTTAAAATAAAGATTTAAATAATAATTGTAATATTTAATACATTTTGTTAGAAGCTACTCTCAGAAGTGAATTCTGGGCTTATATACTTTATTATTGGGATTATATATTTTATTACTGGGATTATATACTTACGTATATAAATTTACAATGAGAAAATTTTGTAAGAAAATAGCACACTCTCTTATGTCATTTGCATAAAATTGAATTTTGTTAAGTTGGATTACACGATTTTTCATAATATTGCATGTTGATGCTTTTACTTAATAATTTATATATTTAGTACAAAAATACTTATCTAATCTATTCATTATTCAATTTAACACAGGTGAAAATTCGTCAATAATTCTCTATCATCGCATGAGAGTATTAAGATCTGCTTTGGCGGCAACGTGCCTTTTAAGCGAGCAAGATTCCAAATTAAGAAAAATCCTGCATATGCATCGTTCGATAGCGGTTCGTCGCGTTACCGTTGGAACCTACGCATCCGACGTTGTTATCAGCATTCCAGAGAAAGAGCATCGAACCTGCTCGAGGTAACTGTTCAGCTTACTCGACGTCGGTATACGACAAATACACCCGCGTCGATTTACCCTCCTTATCGACCTTATATTAAAAGAATAATTCCCTGCGTGAAATCAAAAGGCCGACGAGAGCGGCACTACATTATACGACATTGTCGCTATGGGAGAAGGATAAGGGGGGGAGGGGAAGGGAAGATAAGGGGTTGACCGAGAGGAACCGGTAGCCACCCAAGAAGAGAAGGCGGCTTTCTCTCTGTGCCGACTCGATCGTTTAACAGGACTCCCTCCGCCCTTTTTTTTGCCGATCCTCTTTTTCCCTCAAGGTTGCCACTAAGAGATCGTCCCGGCGAACGAGCGAGAGGAGGAGAGGCAGAACGGGGAGATGTCTTTTACGTTCGGGCGATGCAGGCGAGCTCGTTAGGCTGACGTCTCAATTTTAGATCGGCTATCGAGAAATCGCAGAGGAGAAGGGAGAGAGAGAATGATATCGAGGGTGGGTCCACGTGTGCGTGTTCGCATAAACGCTAGAGCGGGCCACACGCAGTTGCCTTTCATGTATCATAGTATTAATATATAAATACATATTAATAGACAATATATTAATATATTAATATATTAATGTAGACAAATTATATATTATATATAATTACATAAAAAATATATACATGTATATTATGTATAATTTGTCTATATTAATATATTATGTATTAATATAGACAAATTATGTATAATACATGTATGTATGTATGTCATGTATATATGTATATATTTTAATATGCGAATATACGCATTCTAGATGCTTCGGAATAAAGACAAGTTCGAAGACAAGAGAATAAAGTAACAAGCAAGAGAAAGAACAAAGAGAAGAAGAGAGAGAGATGCGGTAAGAGATAGGGAGCGGAGTAAAAGAGCTGTCTATCGGGTTGCGGGTGGGACACGAGAGAACGGGAGCAGGAAAGGGATGGAAAGGGATAGAGGGATGGAAGAAGGAGGAGGAGGAGGAGAAGGGGTGAAGACAACGCGCGCGGTGGTGGCGTCGAGGGTGAGCCCTGCGGGGAAAAGAAGAAACGCGAAGATAGGAGCCTTGGCTCATAATAGGTGGAGAGGCCGGCGCCTCTCGTAGCATCAACCACGTGGCATGCGGCCAACTACTGTCTCCTGATCAATATGCTTACGGGCTACCTCGTCTCTCTTTCTATCCCTTTCCTCTCGCGCCTCTCGGCGACGAGCGGCGGCGGATCAGGAGGCCGCGATGCGACGCGTTGTTATCACGGCGATATCGAATGTATTCGCTTATTCGTGCGTCGAAGGCACCGGGATGTCGTGTCGTCGTGTCCTCTCCTCGAGATCCGCCGCGTCCTGACACGATTGAGAGATCTATACCGTGGCGAATTTCGCTAAAAGTTTAGCCGTATTTCTCGAAAACGAAATTATATCATTTTCAAGTAATATTAATTAATCGGGATAATTAATACTATTACATAACTTACTGGCTCACACTTTAATTTTAAAAAAGTTATATTATTTAACTTTTTTTAATAATCCTTATCATAGTAATTTTATTTAAAAATGAAGAGAGGAATATGATAACTATTGTATCATTGCAATTACATATATGTGAATAATTATTATTTAACAAATCAATGAAAGAAAAGAATATCAATGAGAGAGAAAGAGAGAGAGAGAAATATTATAGATATAAACTATTTTATTTTAATCTGTCAAAAAGGAATTGAAATAGCGAAAATTTCAGCGTGAAAATGTCTCGTAGCCGCGAATATATAAAGATGGATATTATTCTCGCGTGCTTCTAATATATGAAATCCGCGTAACTTCAATCTTTTTTCTCCACTTTTAAAAGGCAATTACAACTCTAGTCACATTTTCGACATTATTAAACGTGGCGTTTTGTGTCACGAATAAACTTACAAATTATTTTCGCGTGTCCTGATAACAATTCTTGCTACCGAGAACTCCGCGATAAACGTCCCGAAGCTTACGACTCTCGTCGAATGGATGGGGTCATTCATTTCCACTCATTATCTTATCATCGGCAAAGTTTCTCGCCGGTGATGTACCGTTGACACCTAACAGGTGGTCCCGTTGGCTCTTTCGCGAACGCCGCTAGAGAGATACATCGAGATCATCGAAGAGCCGGAATCTGCCACGCGTCAGACACGTGGTGACTGATCCAAGTGATTTGTCCGTATCTTTCTTTCTCTCTCTCTCTCACCCCTCTCTCTCTCTCTCTCTCTGTCTCTCTCTCTCTCTCTCTCTCTCTTTCTCCATCTGTATATTTTTCGTCCTTATTCTTTAAAAGTGCGAGTGACATGTACGCTAACTATCACTAACATAAACACGACGGGGCTCTCTTTTTCTCCTTTTTCTTCGACTCTTTTTAAATCATCGTCTGACCCTGAAAGAATCGCGCGTGCTGTCATCATGAGGATCGACTCTACACACTCGTGCGTACTCATACGAGGGTTTTAAATATCTCGGCGAGTCGCGAAGAGCGATCGCGTTATAAGAGAGAGGGTCCACCTATATAAAATTACCGAGGAGTTTAGTCGGCCGTAGTAGAATATCTATATCGCGGTGGGTGGGTGGACAATATCTCGTGGATCGCGCTCGACATCGTCGGTGATAGTAGTGGTGCTGGAGGGAAGGTGGGTGGGTGGTTGGGTGGTTGGTTGGTTGGTTGGTTGGTTGGTTGGTTGGTTGGCTGGTTGGTTGGTTGGTTGGTGGTGGTGTTGGTGCTGCTGCTGGCTGCTGCTACTGCTCTGCTGCTGTTGCTGCTGCCGGCTCACAGCCGCTGGTAATGGTACGGCGGTGGTGGTGCCGGTATCGGTAGTGGTAGTGGTAGTGGTGGTGGTTGCCCCTCAGTGTCCGGCGCGCCTCCGACAAGCGTGCTTCGGTCGTTACAAGAGGATCCCTCGAACGCGCTCTCGGCGTTCACCGCGGATGACATCGGTTAACTTGCCGCTGTTGTCGCGTAACGGAGAGACAACCGATAGACAGGATCGAGATAATAAAACGTTAAGCGGGAACGAGAGAGGAGGCGAGGAACGGAGAGGAGCGCGTCGAGGAGGAAGAGCCGGGAAGAATCGGGACGAGATTACGATCTAACGTGTACGTGGAATTACGACGCTGCTCCCTTCGAGGAAGGATGCGATTAGCATCGGCCACGTTACGGTGCTCGTCGTCGGTGACAGGGTGCGCGGTGACAGGTTCGCGCGAATCGCTCGCGCGGGTCAGGACGGACCCGCAACATTTGCCGCATGCGGCAGACAGGCACGAGGACAACGAGTCCTGCTAACCGGCGAGTCGCAGGACTCTACGAGCACGCGAGAGGAGTGGAACACGGGGAGCGCACTTTAGTAGCGCGCCGTGGATCTCACGGGTGAAGTGCCCGGTTGATCGGAGCATCGATACACACGGAGTGGCGCCAGACTTTTAAATGGTGCATTATTATTTCGAGGATCTTAGCCGTAGTGAAGAGTTAGGTATACATAGAAAGTGCCCGAGAAAGTCGAGAAGACCCTAGTCGATAGTGAACGACGTCGCCGCTTCGTTCGTTCCGAGGATCCGGCGTGACAGGGAGGAAGAAAGAAAGAGAAAGAGAGGAAGAGTGAGAGAGAAGGGGAGAGAGAGAGAGAGAGAGAGAGGGAGAAGAAAAGGGGTTAGAGTAGCGAAGTGAAGCGTGCACACACAGTCAAGTTCAACGACCCGCTCGGATTAGCTCGCGCGAACGAGCGGAAGGTCGGCTCAAGGACGGGGTTCAGCGAAAAGTTCGACGAAAAGAGAAAACGTGTACGAGGAAGAAGGAGAAGAGAAGAGACGCGAGATTAATATATGCAGGTACAAGGAAGAAACGCGTTTATGGGTGAACGTGAGAACGCGGAAGCAAAGCGAGCGCGAATGGCCGAAACTACGAGCGGCGTGCACCGGTCGGTTACGGCGATCCATCGCTCGGGTGAGATTGATCCTGAGGTGCCGGCAACCGGTAGTTGGTGATGGGGGGTTTAGGCGAGGATGCCTTCTCCCTGTCTTCTCTGTCGTCATCATCACCGTCGTCGTCGTCACCGCTACGCGCTGTCATCCCCTACGTCGAGTCGTCGGGTTATTCTATCTCGCATCGTCTCGTCCTTTCCAGTGACCGTCGTCGTCATCGTCATCGTGGTCCCTGCAATCCCTCGGCACCACCGCCAAGCCGGCGTAGCCGGTCGCAGCCAAGAAGCAGCGCGCTTGTTAACGGTAATCCGAAGAGATTCGTCATCGCGAGAGATCCCCCGCTCTTCGGTGTCGGATGCGTCAGTGGTAGCGACGTTAACGTCGTCGACGAGGAGTCTGACGGTACCCGAGGAGCAACGCTTGGGGTATCGGTATCGGTTCGGAAACAGAAGAAGGAAAGAAGGGAGCGTCGTAGCAAGAGAAGGAGGTGGCGGAGGTGGTGGGGGCGAACGAGGTGACTCGCCGTCGAGATGCACCAGGTGCCATATAGAACGGAACGCGGCGGCACCTCGTACGAAGGCCGAAACGACAGGAAGCGACAACAACGGCAACGACAACGGCAACAGTCCTCTCGACACGACAGTCACAGTCAAGTGCCGCAGCAATCGTCTCGATCTCACGTCCGTGCCCGTGCCCGTGTCCACGGCCGCGTTCGCGCTCACGTCCGCGCCCGAACACGCCGATCGTCGACGACCTCGAGCGAGAGCGCCGATCGAACGACGGCGACGCGGCGGTGGTGGTTACGGCGGCACGACGCCGGGCCCGACGTGGTGGTCCGCGAGTCCCCGCCGCTGCACTGTTTGGGCCCGGCGCGCACCGTCTACGGCGGCCTCCCGCCGTTTTTCCCGTCCAATTTGTTGCTCATAGGACTCGCTCTCTGTTGCCTGGCCCTGCCGGCGGTGCAGCCGCGCCTCAGCGGCCACTATCAAACGTGTCCGGGTTGCCCGCATCAGCAGCCGCAGCAGCAGCAGCAGCATCATCATCATCATCACCACCACGTGCATCACGACGGTTCGGCGAAGAGCGGCCTCTTCAAGGACACCGCCGCGCCCAGCCCGGACGATCTCAGGCTGGAGGCGATCAAGCATCAGATACTGCAGAAGCTCGGCCTGAGGGCTCGCCCGGACGTTAACAGGACGTTGGCCAACGTGCCCCGGCACCTGGCCCTGGAGACCCTTTATCGGGCGGAGGCGCAAACGCCGCCGCGTTATTCCGACCGGTCGAGGGTCGACTACGAGAGTGAGTATCCGGGCGAGTTTCTCTACGGCAGCGACGAGTATTCGTATAGGAATCTCGATCAGGAGACCACCACCACCGAGGGAAACGCCAGGACTACCGCGAGGTCCTATCAGAGCTATGACAACGTTCAGGAGGAGCTCGACGATTTCTACGCTAGGACTTCGGAGATCATCACCTTCGCCGACTCCGGTGAGTTTGCCTTGCGTTCTTTTTCTATAGATTTTTCTCCAAATTTTGCGCAAAATTTGCCGACAAATTTGGTTCCGACAAATCGCGTTAATTTCTCCTCGCAATTTTATACTTTGAAAAGTTTAGACTTCTTTATGGATATACGAGGGATATCGGAGAGATACTCGATGATAAGTATATTATCATATAAATAATGCGTAACACGTGACTATGTACATGTGATTGTTACGACATTCGATTTTCTCATTAAATATACCGAGAACCACAACTTGAATAGCAAAAGAAAACTCTAAATCGGTCAATAGCAATAATTCTGATCCGAAAATTTCAAAATATTTACGGAGGAAGATAAGAATATGAGACACGGTGGACATTTAAGCGATTTTCAGACAAATATAATAGTTTCAAATATTTAATAATTCAAACTTTGCATTTGTATCCCTGTATTTATGTACGTGTGTGCGTGTAAAAAATTTATCAATAATGTAATAATAATTAATAATCATGTAAAACTCTTCAAAAACTTGCTAGATAATTTATTGTATTCACATTTGTCGGTGCTATATAAATTGAACATTATTTCTATGTCTGTGACAATGCAATGACGTCACGATTGGCATAGGATACATCTTGCTTTGCGTATAACAACTGGAAAATTAGATTTGCCGGTTGCATTATACCGGAGGGGGGGAGGGGGGGGTGATTTCCATCACTGATCTCGCGTATTTCTAACTTTCTTCTCTGCATTTATCCTCGATGCAAAATACAGGAATTTCACGAGGAAAATCCGTGAGAAACGTCGCGTACGTTCCTGCGCGACGTCGCGGTCAATATCGAACAATCGAGATCTAAAGAACGCGAATGCCCTTGCCACACGCGTGCGATTTCCAATGCAACTGCGATTTCAATGTGTAAAGCCCACTTCCAAGAAAACACTCTTTCTAACACGCCGCCGGCATAAGATGTCGGTGCTCGAGGCGGGAGAATCCTTGAAAAAGTTGCAAAGATCCCTGCGAAACAGCAATGTAAGTCGCAACCGGGGCTTACAACTTTGCCAACTTTGCTCGATAAGTGTCGTAGATTTTTTCCACAATCAAAATATTCCGCCTGCGATAAATAAGAAAATTATCGTACGCTTGAATAGAGGACGTACCTCGAACATTCACAGACAACGGTAATCAAGTTATACAGCGGTCAATGCATGTACATACCATGATTATATTAATTAATCGCGCTATATATCGTCTCACGTAATAATCTGGTATCCGAGATATTCGCGTTTCAAAACTGCATTCGCATTATTTTCAAAATATCGCAGAATAGAGGGATAAAAAGGCCAAGCGACTCTTTATGAAACTCGACTCGACGAACAATCGGCAGTATAATTTGATGAGTGCGCACGCGAATTATAAAAATCGAAGACCGACGGCACTTCATTATCGCAACTACCCGCGCTTCCCTTCTTTTGCCATTTATTTAATATAGCCGGGTGGAACTATTGAATTAAGCTGAATTCGTTGGATGCCAAATCGCGCGAGGAGAACTTACTGATCCCATGTCTGATTGGATGACCCAGTCACTCGATGAAAGTTTTTCGGGAACTTCTCTCCTGAAGCGTCTCTCGATACACTTTAATAAAGATCGCTTGAGTGATCGCATATCGGTATGGACCGAAAAATATATAACGCGAACGTTCGTTCCGTCATCCATTTATCGATCATACTTAACGATCATCCCCTCTTCCCCCTCAAATATAGCTTTGTCAGGATTACATCGGCTCGCATTTAGTCTTTCATTTGCGACAACATGATTGATGCTCGTTGCGGCTTTTTATGATTCTCGCATCGCAAGAAAAGATATTTGCCAATATAATCGTGGATAGTTTTTAAGGGATTTTTAATATCGTTGATAAAATCAATGTTCGTTTATCGTATGTAATTTAATCAAATCACCTGTAAAAGAATATTTCAAATTCTCTATCGAGAAATATCTTAATATTCGGGATAAATTTAATCAAATCACCTGTAAGAGAATATTTCAAATTCTCCATCGAGAAATATCTTAATATTCCAGATAAATTTCATCTTTGTGAAAATGTCGAGGTTGCTTGGAGAAATCTTATAAATATCAATCTCTTTGGAGTTACATTTTTTTAAAATCGTAAGTAAAAATGTACGTTGAAATTTTTATTTATAATATTTTTTGAATTTTTTTTCCTTACAATATATCAAATTTTATTCAAGTTTAGGGAGAACATAAGTTTTATTCCGCTATTATACTTTGAAAAATAGAGCGAACGTGACACCCTGTGTATTAAATAACAAGTACGCGAATGGAATTGAAATAGCAGTTGCAATAAGCTTGGTTTCCGATAACAGGGCGACTTCCACGAAACGCCAAACAACACGTCGCATGTTCAATACATACAGAATGCTCGATACACACAAATACAATGTAATAATTGCGGTATATACAACGCGACTTCGGGGTTAATCTATCCGCGTGTATTGCATTACTTCTCCGCTAGAACGAGGGTATGTTTTATGTATTACATTATATTTTCTCGATTTGATATAATCCGTGTAACAAATACGTGTCTGTTTACTTGTATTTTACATAGGGTTGCCAGACGTCCTCCAATGGGGAGGACAGTCCTCCAATTTAGTAAAATTTTTTCTGTCCTCCGGAGGACGCTTTTTGTCCTCCAATTTCGGCAAATATATTGAAATATATTAATAATTACGGCTGCAATATTTATTTATTTTAATTCATCTGCCTATTCGATTTCCTTTTTTGGGGGAGTTTTTGAAATTGTGTCCTCCATTTCGAAATTTTCAAATCTGGCAACCCTAATTTTACATAAATATTTATAATTCAATGATTCATTTAATTAAAAGACGATAGTTACTTTTCATAGAGTTTTCATCGTAATAAATTTTTATTGACATTATCACAAGTCCCGCGTCTCGAATAAGAAACGTTTACGAAATAAACCCAAAGCTGACTCATCGCGAAATTTCAAATGGCTCGTCATGCTTGTAACTTTTCTATCATGATTTTCATATATTATTCACTATAACATCATTTTAGTTTCGCTTCCGTAGTTTCGCCTAGTTCGCACGGGCTCGAGTCGCGACGATTCGTGTATGTAATTGCGGAAAATCGCGATCGAATCCTGCTCCGAATTCAGCTGACGGAATTTTTCGTGGTCGGGACAAGACGGCGCAATGAAGAGACAGATTCTCCGGGATCGTGATCGCCGGCTAACGAAATTTGCGTGCGAGATTGACGAAAGGCGGAATGGCATCCGTTCATCGGCGAGTCGCTTTGACAAGCACGCGTCCCCTCGGGGCCACACACCTGCAGCCACGTGGCCCGCCGCAGTCCGTCGCGAGTGTTGCGACAACACAGAAGCGGTCTATAGTTCACTCCGTAGTTCATAGTGACTCTAAGTTTAACAATAAGGGTAATAGAACCCCAAGGTAGAAACGGTAATGTTAACCCGACTCGTTGTCGCGCGGCATAGCCGGCGCTTGCAGCTTCGTCACCATTAAATTAACGAGCTCTGCCGAGTTTCGACATCGCGTCGTCCCGTTTCGCTCTTTTCGCCCTCGCAAAACAGTCGCGTAATGTTCCAAGACGGAATTTTGGACTAGTTTTCTGCTTAAGAAATACAAATCTTGGCATAATTAAGCATGTAAGGCAAACCTCGATCTCTCTCCTCGAAAAGTACAGATTTCTTTAGAAATAAAAATATTCAAAAATAGAAATAAAAATAAAAATTATCGAAAAGATATAAATCCTAAAAATGAAAATTTTAAGAGAATCCTCGAAGAGATAAAAATGTGCTTTTTTTTGTTGATATCCTTTACTAATATTTTATTTAAATATATTATTAAATATATTTATTATTAAATTATTATTAAATATATTATTAAATATATTAAATTGAGTATATTATTTATTTAAATATATTATTTTAGAGAAACCGTATCTTTTCTATTCTAATTTATATAAATAGATTATAGGAAAGACATTAAACGAGTCGATAGTTATACGGTGAACGAAAATTCGGCTTAATTACATTTTAGCGCGATATTACTCACTCGAACTCGTTCGCGATCGATTTGCGAGCCGTGTCGCGAACTTTTCTCGACCCGCGCGCGCGATATCGATATCTCGGATTCTCCCGGCGCGAAAAAAGCCCGAGGCGAGCAGGTGCCCGGAACACAAAAGCGTTGATCGCAACGCTTCCGAATCCCATCGCTCTCATACGAGGATTCCCCAATGGTTGATTTTTACCGGATACGGATCGCGCGCCGAGGCCTATCACACACACGCAATACGCCATATGTGATACTTTAACGTTAATGTCGCCGTGTCACTATACATAGTCGATGAACACGTCATTCTTTTTGAAGAAACTAAAGAAACTATAAACGACCACCACACCATACCGCATCGACCGCGGGTGGCCGGCGAGGGGCGCGAGTCGCGGGGGTGACAGCGGGGAAAAGTTTGTGTTCCACATTTTTTGTCTACGTGGAACGCGCGAAAAAAATGCCGCGGAACAATGCTCCCACCTCTTTGCAGTTGTACCGATGTATCACAGTCCCTCCCACTCGGTTGAATCAATATGTTCCAATCGCATTCCCCCCCCCCTTCTCCCTTTAATCGGTTGATAATTAAATTATCGCAAATTTTTTTAAGCCAACGCGTTAGCTCTTTTCATTTCTATTATCCTGCGAAAATAGGGACCCAGATTGACGAACATCGCGCGCGAGACTGAATCTCATCCCTCATCGCTCATTCCTGGGTCAGTTCTGTAATGTAATTTGTAATACGACGCGGAAGATAAATCAGCGTTCGTATAATTTTCGACACTTATTTTTTATATACCTCTCTATAAATTTGCTTCCGGGTAATCGATCATTTTTCAACGTATCACGAATAGAAGAAATAATCCAATATAATATACATATATATTGTATAATGTATCT